GAAACCGCAAAATTCCGGGGGGCGGCAGTTTTAATATGGGGGGGGTGTTTATTAAACGTGGGAAGAGATTATCATGGTAACTTAGATTAAGTCCCTTAACAAGAGCCCCGTAAACCCCCAAAGACTTCAAAACCACCACATAAAAACCAGGCAAAAGACCGACCACACAGACTGAACTCTAACAGATGGAAACGCGGCTGAACCCTGAAAACCTAAACGCAAACTAAGCCAGCTCCAAGCACAAACTACGGCCTAAACCTCCACTCCAAAATGATTTAAGGAGCGACCTGAGGCCCTAAACCCTAAAAACGCTGAACCTTAAACCCCCAAAACCCCCAAAACCCCTAACCTAAACCCCTAAGGCCCTCAACCCCCTTTCAACCCTTCAACTCTAAACCCTAAACCCCGAAAACCCAAACCCCGAAAGCCCTAAAAACCCCAACCCTTAAACCCTTCACCCGCAAATCCCTAAAACTCCTAAAAGCCTATAAACCCTAAACCCCAAAGCGCCCCAAAGACGTAGGCCCAGGATGCCTCGACCAGCTCCTGCTTCGTCGTGACGCTGGGGACTTGCTGCGTTCGCTCACGGACCTGCTCCGTCACTCTTCGGGGTCTGGGGCTCTATGGCTTAAGTCTTTAAGGGTTTGTAGGGCTTTTGGCTTTAGGCCTTTAACAGTCTTAGGGCTTTATGGCTTAAGGCTTTAAGGGTTCGAAGGGCTTTTGGCTTTAAGCCTTTAAGGTTCTTAGGGCTGAGGGTTTCAAGGGTTTAAGGGCTTTCGGGTTTTAGCGGTTTTGGGGCTTTAGGCGTTTCAGGATTTTCGGTTTTAAAGGTCTAGGGCTTTAGGCCTTTAGGGCTTTAGAGGTTTAGGGCGTTAGGGTTTGGATTGTGGGTTCTTTCACTATTTGGGGTCAACCATACGGAATGATATGGCACTTTTTTCGGCTTCTAGACTACGCTGCCATACGTGGGTGTAGGATATTTGGGGTTGAAGGTTTCGGGTTTTGGGAAGCAGTTACGG